TGGAGGTTGGGTACGAGGGAGGATTCCGTGCCCGAAGCAGCGGCAGAATTCCAGCAGGGACGGAATTCCAGCCCTGGGGCGGCGGTGGAGTCACATCCCCGCGGGGACTGAGCGTGGTGCCAGTGATGGGGAGACGATTAGACTCGATGAGCTCTGAGAGGACTTTTCCAACCCGAATGATTCCGTGGTTGGTTCCATGCTCTCCATGGGTGGCTGCTGGAAGTGCTGCCGGGAGGGCTGTTGGTCAGAGCCCGTGGGCTTCATCTGGGCTTGTCAGCACCTGTGGAGAAGGAACTTGTGGTTTTATGGCTTGGAATGAAGTGTAGCAAACGGTTAACAAGATCTAAATTAGCCTGGGTTATGCACTGAACTGTATGGCAACCAGAATATACAGATGGTACCCCCAGAAAACGAGCAGAGGGGTCAGTGCTGGCTAACCCAGAGGTTGGAGTGATGCTGGGAAGGGTCGTTCTGGGGAATGTGCTGCAGGAGAGATGAGCTGTGGAGATGAGCTGGTTGAGTGGGGAAGGGTGGGGAGCTGTGAGCGCTGGTTGAGTGGGGAGGAGGGCACGATGTACTGTGAATTCCCAGGCTGGAACAGGACAGGGAGATGCTCTTTCTGCTGCTGCCAGGGCTGTGTTAGGTGGCTGAGCCAGGCAGAGATTTGTGCATTCTTTGTGCACAGGTGTGATAAGTCTGTTGGGTGCTTTCACAAAAATGTATGTTGCTTCCCAGTTCTCATTTTTCCCCCTTCCATTTTTCCCCTTTGGGTCTGGGCCCTGGCCATGGTCCCAGTGCCTCCAGTGCTCCCTGGCGGCCTCAGGAGCTGTCTGGGAATGGGGTTTAGTTCTGCTGAAGACCAGCAGAGTTTCCTCACCCATATTTCCTGTGGAAAGGAAAACCATCCCGGTGTTCTAAATGCCCAGGAATTTAGAGAACCCACATGTGCTTTGCTTGGCAGTTTGACTTGCATGAAGCCTGAGAATGGACATGGCCATTAATGGTACAGTGGGTGAGTGTTTTCCAGTTTTACTTTGCTGTAGTAACTGGTTTTTTTTAACATTCTCTTTGAAGCCAACATGTCTCGAGAGACTGGAAGTGAAGCACAGCAGTCTCAAGGTGCCCAACAGTCACAGAGTGGTACCAGTTCTTCCAGTGGGTCACAGAGTACTAGTCAGTCCTCCTCGAGTTCTGGGACCCTCAGTTCTTTGGATACTGTTCCCACCCAGGAGCTTCCGTCAATCCCCGAGGACCAGGAATCTGAAGAGCTGGTTCCTCAGCCATGGGGTCGACTCTTTGCACTGGGAAAAGGGTTCAGCAACTGTGGTATGTACATACTGTGCTAAACCTCTTGGATTGTTTGTAGGACCTCAGGAAAATTCTGACCAGCTTGGTAGAGAGCAGTGTCTTTCATTTTCAAATTGAGAACAAGTTTAGTGCACGATTTTTGCAGTGTTTTATTCCATACTACACCCCAGTGTTTGTGCTGAGTACTGGGATGCACAACTTCCACAGACCTAGAGAAATTCTGGGGTATTCAGGTTCTTTCATACATGCTTCATTTTTCCATTTCATAATTTGTTTACTTATCATATGAGTGTCTATATTGCTGAAGGTGAACTGAAAACTGCTACTATTAAAGAGAGTAAAATTACTAGGAGCGTAAAGAGGATGAAATTATTAAAGAATTTTACAGGGTGTTAATACTGCACAGAGTTTTGTCTGAATTAAGGGACATGGATTGTGTGGGAAGGATCTTGTTTTTATCCTACTCACTACCATTTGGCATCATTCCATAGTGCCACAGTTAAAAACTTCCTGCAATGTTGTGTTCTCTCTCTGCTGTTCCTTCCCCTCCTCTGCAGACTGTGTGAATGAGGAATACTGGTTTGGGAGAGACAAAAGCTGTGATTACAGTTTTTCTAAGCTGGGGTTATCTGAGACTGGTTTCTACCAAAACTACAGCAAGAAGCACTTCCGAATTTTCAGGGTAAGTGTTAAAAAGGTTAACTGTGTTTATCATAGCATAGAACAAAAAGTGGCTTTGGGGCAGAGATACTAAAGAAATCAAAGTGTCTTCAGTGTTGACTCCTTTAACAAGACTCCCCATTCACCTGGTTTATGAAATAACCTCAGTAGTCTCATTTCTTGAGTCAACAGGAGCAAATTTCTAGTCTGTCATTTGTTCTCTACTGTTACCTTTCCCATTTTTTTTCTCTTTGAGGAAATGGGTCCAAAAAATTCCTATGTTGCCTACATTGAAGACCATAGTGCAAATGGAACGTTTGTTAACAGAGAGCTGGTTGGAAAAGGGAAGAGGCTTCCACTGACTCACAACTCTGAAATTGCTCTGTCTGTACAGACCAATAAGGGTAAAATGTGCTTTCACTTTAGTAGCTTCTTCATGTGTTGCTTCTGCATTGATTTGAGTATGTTTCTTGGGAGCTGAGCTGCTTCATGAGGACTGTGAAAACACAGCCATGAATTAATGTTTTATCACTTGCATAAAAATTATCCATATCCACCCTAGAAAAAAACCTGAAAAAGGAAAAAGAATCTGCATCACATATCACCTTACTGGAGTATAAATTTTCATAGTTGTTCTCCCATTTTTGAAAGACTTTTGGGCTTCAGTAGCTGTGCATGTGATGGTGGGAACAGGGGAAATAGACTGTTCAAGACAAGCTGAAAAAAACCCCAGATACTTCACCAGATGCTGCATAAGAAATAGAAAAGCCTCTTAAAAATTAGCAGAGCTGGGGGTTTGTTTCCTTGTCTTTGCTTTCCCAGTAAGATGTTGTGTTCTTATTTGTCACTTCCCTCTGACCCTGTGGAGACACTGACATAATTGCCCGTTTTGTCCTTAAAGGTAGTGTTAACTGTTCAGGGACTGTTGTGGATTTAGTGCCAAGGATTATTTTTTCCAGCAGTAAGATCACCTTGCTAACCCACAGCTGATGTCATTTATAGCACAGGTTTAGTTTTTCCTCTGGCAGGCACCATCTCCTCAGTGATGTTGTTGACTATAAAAGCTCAGGAAACATAGTTGTTTGCTATAACAAATTCTGACTGTTAATAACAGGCAAATTTTCTCCATTTATCTTCTCAGTGTTTGTGTTTTCTGATCTTACGGTGGATGACCAGATGATGTTTCCTAGGGAATTAAGAGAGAAATATATCATATCAAAGACTTTGGGAAGGTATGTGTCCTCCTGTCCTCAGTATTTAGGGTGAATTTTGTTCCCATTGTCAGTACCTTGTGCTGGAACTACTACCAGTATTATTTGAGCTGCTGTTTTGAAAGATCAAAGGGAAAAAATGTTAACATCTGAGTAAACCTGTTCTTTACAACAACTTAACCAGGAATTTTGGCTTTATCCCCATAACTGGCTCAGGGTTTGTAACCTACCATCAGTTGTGAAAATGAGGTGGGTTTTTTTTTCTGTAGAAGAGAATGAAGTCTGTAAATTCTTAACAAGTTTTTAAAGTTTGTGTATTAGTTTACTCAGTTATTGGAGGCAGAAGGAAGAGCTTTATGTCAGCATACAGCTTTCTACACCATCAAAGTGAGGTCTTCAGACAGAAGGGAAAAGAACTGTCCAGGAAAAGGAGAGAGAGGCTGTTTAAAGTGGTGACTGTTGGTGGGAAAAGTTGGTCAGTAAAGAAGCTGGAGGTGAATGGTTAAGCAGAAACAAATCTGAGCGGAAAAGAATTGCTATTTAGTAAAAGGACAAGTATTGTCATATCTGTTCTTCAGACTTGTGTACAGGGAACCCTTCACTAGGTTCTCTTCTAAATGTCTTTGCATGGAGGCAGTGCAGGCAGAGCTCATCCTTATTTGCTGGTACCCTTGATACAAACAGAGAACTCAACATGTTTACTCCTGTGGTTGTGAAGGAGTTCATGGCAACACTGGCAGTTGAAATCGACTTCCTAACTGCTGATTGACTCCTGGAAGGAGCAATGGGCCATGGGCAGGAGGTCAGGGAGCAGCAGCTCTGAGTGTTTGTCTGTGCTTGCTGCTCAGCCTCGGGCAGTGTTTGTAAGCACTGACCCAGCTGTGCTCTCTGCTAGCGGTGCCTGCGGGGAAGTCAAACTGGCCTTTGAGAGGAGCACCTGTAACAAAGTTGCAGTGAAGATCATCAATAAACGCAAGTTTGTGGCAAGTGGCCTGGGAGAGGCAGTAAGTGTTTGGGTCTGTCTGTCTGTCTTGGCCTGCTTGCAGTGGTCCTGGAATACTTGGTGGCTTCTCTGACTCCCCAGCTATCTTCAGCTAAAGAGGTTTTTCTTAGTGTCTTCTGTACTTCATTTCAAAATGCCTTTTGATCTTGGAGCACCTACAGAGTTCTGGAGCAAACTCTTGCTTACATTCTTTGCCCACATTCCGTTAGCTTCATCACGTAGGACTGTTGGTGGGAAGGATACACAGGGTGATGTAGAGTCCTAGGGCTTTGCTTTGTCTCCTAAAATGCCTGAGATGGGCACATCATAACCAGCAGAATCTGACCAAAAATGTATCAACTGCTGATTTTGTTGTATGCTCCATCATAATACTTTTTACAAAGCCTTTTGGGAAGAGGTTTTCGTGTGTCTGATGGCAGAAGCCACTGGCCTTGTTCTTCTCCAAATTCTGACTTCTGCCTGTGGGTTGATTTCATGAGCTGAACCTAAGCCACAGATTAAAAGAATCTGTTTCTATTATCATGCAAAGTAACAGCTAAGAGGTGTCATTTTAGGGTTGGCCTATCTGCAGAGCACCTTAGGGGAGAAAAGCTGTTTGAAGGACAATGCCAGGATTTACACAACAAGGCTTGTTTCTTGAGTTTGGAAATCAGTTGGGGATTTCTAACCTGCAGCGAAATGAATGTCTGGAGCAATATTTTAATAGAATCAGAGAATCAACCGTGTTGGAAAAGACCTCCAAGATCATCCAGTCCAACCCTACTGTGGTTACCAGACCATGGCACTAAGTGCCACATACAGTCTCAGCTTACAAACCTCCAGGGATGGTGAATCCACCACCTCCCTAGGAGGTGGATTTTGCTGCAGACAGTGACAGCAGACTGTTTATTTAATTCTCTGAAGGCACCTGGTCAGTTTATGGAGAAAGATTGTATGTCTTGATTGCTCACAGGGCATGAAATAACATTTCTGGTACTGACTCTTGTTTCTGCTGTGCCTTATCCCAGAACAGCACTGTCTTACCCAATGTGTGTGACTATTTTCCAGAACCCAGCTTTTAATATCAATACAGAAATCGAAATTCTGAAGAAAATAGATCATGTGAGTGTTGCTGTATATTTTCATTCCTTTTTGCTGCCTCCTGGATGTATTTCTGTGGTTCACTGACCTTAGTGTAGTAACTGAAGATCCTCTTTAGAAATGTGTTGGAGGAGACATATAGAATCACAGAATTTAGGGGTTGGAATGGACCTTACAGATCCTCCAGCCCCAACCCCCTGCCCTGGGCAGGGACACCTCCTCACTAGATCAGGATGCTCAAGGCTCATCCAGCCTGGCCTTGAACACTGCCAGGTATAAATCATTGAATGGGTCTTTTTTTCTTCTTTTAAGGATATTATATCTTTGCAGATTTGAGATTTTAAACCTTTGAATAACAGATGTATACTTGAGAGGAAACTTCACAGGAGAAGTTTCAACCTGAACCACTGTGGTAGAAATCTTGCCTTGATGGAAATTTCTGTAAATGCTGCTAGATAACCAAGTATAAAGATCAGATTTCAGTGGCAGTTTCTGGAATTTGCATCCCCTCTTTTCTCTGCATGTAAAGCGCATGAGGGTATGGGAACCCACAACTGGAAAATGAGGATCCTGGCTGAGCTGTAGTCACTGCAGGAGCTGAATGTGTTTTTGTGAGGTGTGAAGGAGAAGACAACAGGCTTGAATAATGTTTGCCCAAGCCTGGGGCACTTGCTAGTCACTTGTGTTAAGTGCTAGTTTAAGAGACATAGTTGAAATACTGAAGTAGGAACCTTAGGGTTAGTTTTCACAAGTTATTCTACCTTTTTTTTTGTGCATCTCTCTTTGTGTTCCCTTTTCTGTCAGCCTTGCTTAATCAAGATCAAAAACTTCTTTGAAGCAGAGGATTACTACATCGTTTTGGAACTGTAAGTAACTTGTTTGAAAGTAAGTTCATAAAATGAAATGCTTCTCACAGCCACACAGAACGTGTGTAGCTGTGACCTGTGGGGGTTTTGTTTGGTTTATTGTTTTTCTTTTGCTGACCTTCACGGTTCTCTGAAGCCTCTGTAAAATCAGGAGCTGAGATAACCAGGAGAGTCATCCTTCTGTGCTCTGTGGGCTCTTGGTGCCTGGATAGGCTCTTGCTGTTGTGATTTGCTGCTTGTCAGAGGGAGCTGATCAAAAATCACCTCACAGCTCCCAGGAAAGGCTCAGGAGGTTGACCCTAACTCAGCAGTGCATGTGCTGTGTTTGGGACATTGCTCACTCACTGTCAGAAAAACATTCTTTCTCTGTAGCCAGAACAGCCAAATGTTTTGGTCTTAGTCTTGTCTAACGAGGTGAATCTTTTGGAATTCATATCTTGTCTTGCTACCTGCATCTAGGATGGAAGGAGGAGAATTGTATGACAGAGTGTCAAGGCCAGTCAAGATGAAAGAAGCTACCTGCAAGTTGTATTTTTATCAGATGCTGCTGGCAGTAAAGGTACATCATCGTGAGTTCTACCAAGGCAAAATATGGTTATGCATGGCAATGTCAGTAGGGTGAATTTATCTGTCAATTGTTGCTTCTGAAACCTGTGTGAGCAATCAGCACAGTGTTCTGAATGAGAGGGAGAAGGAAGACCAGGATTCCTACAAAGGCAGCACAGAACTTTGGTCTTCCTCAGCTCTGTTGCTTTTACTGAGATGGAGGAAAAGGTGTAACTTTGCAGAGAATGGGAAGGGTGGAACCCCTGGCCAGGTCTGTTCACTGTGAGACTGAGATTTGACTTTGGAAGCATCATGATTTTTAAGGTGTTTGGTTTTTTTTAAGGGAGAGTCATAAGCTAGGGAGCTTTAAATGTATTCCTGCCTCTGACACAGCCATGTCAGTTATCCTGTCACTTCCATGGGAAAAATTGGAAAGCTTGCATTTTAAACCAGGGTAAGAGTCTGTTTTTCTTTACTTCTCTTTCTGTATATATGCAGTATCTTCATGACAACGGAATTATACATCGAGATCTAAAGCCAGAGAATGTGCTGCTTTCATCTTCTGAAGAATCATGTCTTATAAAGGTAAGGAAACTCCCATTTCTTGTTCGTGGAGAAACTTAGGAGTATTTCTTCCCATTGTTCTCAAGATCAGTAAACAGCAAAAAGGATATTATGGAATTAGTCCTACAAACTGAAGTCACTGAAAACATTGAGGTGGTTTTCTTGTGAGTTTAATTTTCCTTGTGTGGGTATTTCAACCTCCACACTGTCTATGAACTTCAAATATCAGTTCCCTTTTTTATTCAGTAAAATCTAACTTCTTGAGTTGCAGATAGAATTCCCACAGATGTCCAGGCTGTATGAGTTTGGGGGTTTTTCAATTCCCACAGATGTCCAGGCTGTATGACAGGGAGTTTGGGGGGTTTTTTTTGGAGGGTTAGGGTTATGGATTTTCTGTGGGATTTTTTTGTGTTGGGTTTTTCCCCCCAGAGAAAGCACTGAATAGCTTTGCATGCAAAAGTGCTTATTTTCCAAGTAATCTGCTCTAATAAGCTCCAATACCTTTATTCTGTGGTTGTCCATTTACATCCAAATCTGAGAGAACTTTTTGCTAGTGTAAAGTGTGATCTCTGCCATATTTCTCCCTCTTCCTCCCATTCTCACTTCATAATGGTTGGGGTGACTTTTGTCCATAGTCATGTGCTGGAACTGGCTTGGAAGGAAGAAACCTAACATTACCTCCTGATGTATGTCAACAATTTGCTGTGTTCTAGTACAATCCATCCTAATATGTAATGTGGTGTCACCGTTTTTAAATACGAGATTACAGATTTTGGACAATCCAAGATTCTTGGAGAAGCTTCTCTTATGAAAACATTATGTGGTACTCCCACTTATCTTGCTCCTGAGGTTCTAAATTCACTTGGGACTGCTGGATACAGCCGAGCTGTGGACTGCTGGAGTTTAGGAGTTATTCTTTTTGTATGGTAAGATCCTGTGTAGCTGTACCTTCACTGGGCAGTCTGTGACAATCGTGGCTTGAGCCTTGGCAGCGTCAGTATCTGTATTAAGAAGTGTGTTTAAAACTCCACGTGTGTAAAAACACTGTGCTAGCAGATGCTTTGTACCACGTGATTTCAGTGTTTCATTTGCTGTGACAAGACCTGTGTTATTTATTGAACTTGGTTTTATTTTATGTAGCTTGTGTGGTTATCCACCTTTCAATGAGCAAAATACTCAGCTGTCTCTGAAGGATCAAATCACTCGTGGGCAGTACACGTTCATTGCCAAGGAATGGAAACATGTGTCAGACACAGGTGGGTGCAGGAGATCTACCTCTTGTCTTGTGGTCTTTGTTTCCCTTGCTCTTCCTTTCAGCCTTGTGGGAGCATCAATATGTTTAGTTTTCAAGGCAGTATCTTAAAAATAGTGGTGGGTTTTTTAAGTTCATAGATGAAACATTAGAAAGAGCAGATATAACACTTTATTGAAGAGATTTCTTAGTAATGTTTAGCTTAATTAGGCACAGGAGTGCAGAGTTTGTGGGCACATACATCTGTTTTTTTCTTCTGAGTTTATCAAGCTGGGCTACAGACTTTGCCTTGCCTAAGGATTCCATAGATGAAACATTAGAAAGAGCAGATGGAACACTTTATTGAAGAGATTTAAGTGTTGGACTGAAAACGCCAGAAATTTAAGGAATATGAGTTAGACTTCCAAGAGGCAAATGATCCAAGAGAGTCATTTGAGCTGGAAGTGTCAGTCACATTTGTGGAATCACCTATTATGTTTGGCCCAATGTAAGCCAAGTGTCTGTGGATCAGAGTTTTTGCATAGCAAACTGCAGTGAGAATTACTGTCTGTGTGCTTTTCTGTTTTCAGGGCATTTTAAAGGCACGAGATAATTGTAATATTTGCCTTGGAGACTCCTTTGTATGTGCTGAGGAGGTTCTAATAAATGATATGGTCATTCTTTGTCTAATGAACTCACCAAACAAAGCTTGAATAATTTGAAGGTTATTCAGTAATAAGTCAGACATATATGAGAATGGAAATTACACTGAGGTTGTACATAGTCCTATAGGTTGTACTCAGAAGAATCAGATGCAGTGAAAAAGGAATTGTGGCAAGATTTACATATGGGAGATTTTGAGCAATAACACATGACATAAATGCCATATTTTTCACAGTGTCTGGTAGCAGCTTCCTAAGTTTGAGATGATGTTGAGCATACATGTGTATGTCTTGTCTCTTCTTTCCCACCTTCCCAGATGGATAATCTGCTTTCCAAGACACTCTAAACCAGGAAACTAAATTCAGCTGTCTTTGCTTCTCCACAGGACTAGTGAAGCTTTTAGGAAAGCATTGAGCCTCCTGTGCATGCTCAGGACACAAACTGTGGCCATGCTCAGTGTATCTACTGGCAATTTTGGTACAGTGACAAGTGCTGAATCATGTGCATGGGAAGGAGAGGTGTTTGCAGTCTGCAGCCCTCCCTGAGCATAGAAAAAAGAAAAGTGATCTGCAGTTTTTGGGCTTGTTTTTGAGGGGTTTAGGACACAGTCACACGTTGTTTTGGTGTAGGTACATTCAGGTAATGAATGTGTTGATCACATGTCAACCAGCTCTTCCTATTGTCTTAGCTCTGGATCTTGTGAAGAAGCTGTTAGCAGTGGACCCAAGGAAACGTCTTACCACAGAGGAAGCCTTAGAGCATCCTTGGCTTCAGGTAGGAATTGTGGAAACTGAAACACAGCAAAGTTGGGTTGTCCTGGGGATAACTTGGTGTAAACCCAAAGGCAGTTCAGTAGCCTGAACATTATGAAGTTTTGTTGATGCAGTGTAATTTTTCTTCTGCAAGGAAGCAGAGGAACACTGACCACTGGTGAGCAGAGAGGCAATGTGTGCCTGATCCTGCTTCTGTGGAGAATACCATAGGAAGGACACAGTGATGGGCCAGGAGAGCTTCAATTCCTTAGCTTCATGGCAATAACACCCGTGATCCTAAGTCAGAGCTTGTCCATAGCTTGGTCTTGACAGGAGTCAGCAGCAGAACAACTGGCATTTGGTGCTTCTCATGGGCATGTCCTGCCTGCTGGCTGGACAGATTCTGCTGCCTGCTGTAAGACTGGAGAGGTTCTGGTGCCTACTTACAGAAAAAGAAGCGAGAAAGAAAAGGCCCATGGACTCTGGATCATGTTTTATAGGCATTGTAGAGCACTGAAAAGTTCTGTCAGGTTGAACTAGGTCCTGTTCCAGGCTCTCACCTCTTGCCAAGTAGAGTGTCAGGACTGTTGTGGTCCTGTCACCTCTGACCTTTCCATCAAAACAGCTGTGTTTTCTTGGTGGGAGGAAGATGAAACTGATTTTGCTGTTAGGAAAATTAGACTGGTATTAAGCTGTTCCGCTCCATACTCTGGTCCCTTGTATACTTGCATGACCTGCTCTGAATTCAATGGAAAACCCTGGATGTCTGGAATATTTTCACAGAAAACAAAGCCCAGTCTGCCTCTGTAGCTAGTCTGTGCTTTCAAAGATTTAGTCCCTGCAGAGAGGCTGCAAGAATAGCATGGAGTAGTCTGCTGAATACCTTCTTTCAGTACAACCAGCAGCTTCTGCACCCTGAGCCACCTCTTCCCAGAGCTCTTTCACATCTGAGAATCGAAGGACTGTGGTTCTGATAGGATGGACCTCTTCCTCTGAGCTTTGTAACACAGTCCCACTTCCTCAGCTTGTTTGTGTGGGCAGGCCCTGCAGAATCCTGCAGAGTTTGTTTCTGGCAAGAGTCCAGTACTTCTCTATTCTTCCTATGCTGAGTATGAATAAGTGTCACTGGTTTGGGAACCCTCTGAGTAGGAAGTGATGGTTTCCCTGCCTCCTGTTACAGGCAGGTTAGGTTTGAGAGGGGTAGTCTTTAGGTGGTCTTTTATTAATTTTGGCACTTCAGAGGTGACTGCTGGACCTGTAAGCTTTCCTGGATCTTTTTGCTTGAGGAAACTGAAAAAAGTCCCCCAGCCTACCTCTGAGCCACACAGTGGGTTCTATTTGCTCATGCCAAGCACAATTCTACTCCTGTTCCCCCAGTGGGGACAGGATGGTTTCAGATGCTTCAGTAAAGGGCATAAGAAACAGAGTGGGAGCAATGGAATATCCTTCAATGCTCAACAGCTGAGTGTCCTGAGACAAAAAAATGCATGTGGGTGACTCTTTCATGTCATTAACTTATCTTAATTATGCTGC